TACATACAAACCACTTGTATTTACAAATATGTACTAGGTTTATATATTAATGCCATTTCAACACTTATTTTTACCTCTTACAATTTAATACCTGTACAACTATCCGCCAAATAATCAATTGTATAACACAACACCCGTCAAAATATCACCCGATAATACATTTCTTATTCAAATAGTGAACTCACATTTTCACAAAATGTCATTCGAAGTACAATACGAAAACAGTCAATATTCAAATAATTCACACACTTCCAAAAAAATAATATTCAAATTACAATACAAAAATACACTCACGCATTTCTGCCACCAACACCACTGAAATACTCGTCTGAAGCTTTCACCACGACATTCGCTGGGTATTTCCCTCTCATCCCAGACCGTCACGCTTTTTCACTCCCTGATCGTGCATGAAAGTCATGCACTCCTTCGCACAGCCGGTTGCGTTTCCGCGCCCCGTTCTCCCGCCGTAAACTCACAAAGGACCAGATTGTGGCAGGTAGGTTTTTGCAGGCGTCTGTAGTGTGGCTGAATGCGAAGCAGTTGTTTTTGCGCATGGGGTGTACTTTGTAGTTTAGAGCTCCGAATGTTATGTAATTGGGTAGTGTGGTGGATGTAAACGTGAGAAAGGTGATCTGAGTGTTTGGGTTGTTGGTGGTTGGCTGCTTGGTGTTGATTGTTTTGAAGTCTATAATTTTGGGTTGTGTGGAGATAGTGTTTGCAATGTGAATGTTCTCTTGTATGTCTGTTTGTCTTTCTCTACTGTCGATGTGTATAACTCCTTGTGCTTGTGTCTGCCACCTTGGTACTTCCCATCTGATTGTGTTTCCGTCAATGAGTGTGTGTTTGAGGGTGTTTTAGTAAGGTTTGGTCGGGGAATATTACCTTAAACCCCTCTCACAGAAGTTAATGTAGGGGTAGATAAAAGTGATGTTGAGAGTAATTGGGAGCACATATTAAGGGGTGGGCATGTAGGCTTTGAGTTTGGGGAGCAATGGGCTGGGGAGGGTTTGACTTTGGGGAGCGATGGGGTGGGAAGCATACAATAAATACAATGAGAAACAATATGTACATATAATGAGGAATGATGGTACATGGAATATTTACCAAAAATTGATGGTGAATGATTGGTATTTACAATTTGGCGATTTGATGGATGATGAAGTATATACAAGGGGACTTGGCCCGGGAAGCCGGGGGCTAGGTGCACTGGTCGGCAAGCGAGAAAAGTCTTTGATTGAGGTTGAGGTAGGAGGAGGTAAAATGGCGACGCCAGGGCCGGGTGTTGGTTTCCGTGGACGCAGCAAACGATTTATACTACCAGCTCCAAGGAAAGCCGATCAACGGATGTGAATGCCGCCACGTACATAAGGTAGTATACTGCCACAACTACATTCGAAGTGTTCCTCTTTTGCCAGTCGGGCACGTTGTTTATTTAAGGAGTAAGAGGATCACCAGACCATGTAAGTTAGCAAGTCAATGGTCGGGAGGAGATGACCAAGCCAGGAAAGTGGACAATCATTTGCATATCTAGGGGATACTACCATTTAGATAGTTCTGCGTAAATATACTGAGTCAAAAAAGAAACTTCACAAAATGTAATTTGAGAAATAATGAATAATTTTTCTCTGATGATACATCTATGTATCCAAAATCGGATCCCTATCTTTCGACTCTAGAAAAACGTTAGCAAAACCCACTCAAATCCATCCATTCGTCGTGCATATGACGTTAGTGCGAAATCAGGTTTTGCACGTGCAGTCGATCATGTGATCTTCGCATCGAAGTTTTCTTGATATGCACGTGTTTGCATTGGCCTCAAGTTCTAACGACACTTGAAATGCCACGATTGTCAAATGTGCAACGTGAACGTGCCTTTGGCATGTTGCAAGCGGGAAGATCGGTTATTGACGTCGCAAGAGCAATGGGATGCAGCCGTCGTACTGTGTATGACTTGCGAGGTCGTCAAACTGGCACCACCTCTGATCGCCCAATGTCGGGTCGTCCACGTGTGACATCACGAGCAGAAGACCGTCAAATCGTCCTACGTCACCTACGTGACAGATTTCGGCCGGCTACACGAACCAGGGCTGAGATGTTTAGTATATAGGGGTCGACTGTTCTCACAGACCATTCGAAATAGGTTGCAGGCTGCCAATCTCCATTCTCGACGTCCATATCGTGGGCCAATATTGACGTCGTCTCCAGACTCTATGCCTGCCGTCCGCGAATCTGAGGATAAACCTGGATTCATCGCTAAAGACGACTCGATTCCAGTCTCTCAGGGTCCATCGGACGTGATGTTGACGTTGCAGATTTGACAATCGTGGCATTTCAAGTACCGTTAGAACTGTGGTTTAAAAGTGTTTTTTTCAATTCTTGAGGCCAATGCAAACACGTGCATATCAAGAAAACTTCGATGCGAAGATCACGTAACTGACTGTACGTGCAAAACCTAACGTCACTAACGTCATTTGCACGGCGAATGGATGGGTTTGAGTGAGTTTTGCTAACGTTTTTCTAGAGTCGAAAGATAGGGATCCCATTTCGGATACATAGATGTATCATCAGAGAAAAAATTTTCATTATATTTCAAATTACATCTTGTGAAGTTTCTTTTTTGACTCAGTATATAAACAACACCAAATATTTTCAGAGTCTCTTTCGTGTCTTCAGGCTATTAAAAATCTTTCTTGTAAACATCCACTTTTATTAGAAATTACTGAATTATTGTATAATGAGCTTGCTACTGGCCAATGCGACATCATCGTCTTTTGTTGGTTACCCAGCCACGTTGGCATTTCTGGGAATACGATGGCTGATATTGCTGCTAAGGCTGCACTCAACAAATCTGTGACACCACTTCTGCTCCCCCATACTCTGATTACAAAGCTTGCATTAGATCTTACATCCGTGATCTGATGCAAAGAAGTGGGACACCAAAGTAGGTATCAATAAATTACATGCAATAAAACCCTATATCGGTTACACTTACTTGGGTTGTTCAGTCCAGATTTGAAGAGGTCATTATGCGGACGATGTCGCATTGGCCATACAAGATATGCCCATGAATATTTGCTTAAAGGTGAAGATCCTCCGTTTTGCATCCCTTGTGATGAAAGAATCACTGCTGGTTTTACATGCATTGTCAATTAGGTGTACATCTTGCTTGACTGCATTATTAATATTCCATCATCGAAGGGACTATTTCAAAGTAAAGACTATGAAGGATCTTTTAATAATGTTAGTTCTCATTTAATTATTGCATTTTAAGAGAATTAGATTTGTTAACTGATTTGTACATAGATACATATATTATTATTGGTAGTTTAGATTAGTAACTGAGATTGTTAGTGGCTGTACCCTCAAAGGGGGTTGAAGTAGCGTAAAATTATTGTCCCCCTGAGAGGGTACGTAAGTCCCAAAACTTTCAAAGTTAATTTTTTGCTTGCCCGATTAGTAAACGTAGTATATTTGTTCCTTTAAATTTTGGCTAAAGTTGTCCTACAATCGCCAGCGGCTGAAAGGATGGTGTAAATCCAACTAGGGTCCATGCAGGTAGCAAAGGCATTGTAAGTCCCCATGGTCCCTAGTATGGTGATCTACCTTCAGTTGTTGACGATCTATAGCCCAATTTTACATTGTATTGTCCAGAAATAATTTTCTACTTTTAAAGATATATGCTAGCTAGTTTTAACTCAATCTGTGATAATCTAGTGGTTTTACTGTCCTTCGTTGACAGGGTTTTATATATTATATGTATGTGTTATAAATTTAGAACTAGTTTTAGTCACGATATTGCCGATGTGACTTTAAATCTTAACTCACTCAATCACTCACTCACTTGATGAGACAATTGCGCAGATCGATGCTCATGCTGTTGATCACTGGATTGTCTGGTCCAGACTCGATTATTTACAGACCGCGGCCATCTAGCTGGAATATTGCTGAGTGCCGCGTAAAACTAAACTCACTCACTCACTCACTCACTTGATGAGATCACACGTCTCAAGCGAGTACAGCACGGTGCAGCTCGTCTTGTGATGAAGAGACGGAAGTACAATCATGTGACTCCCATGCTGCAGCATCTACATTGGCTGCCTATCATGCTTCGGTGCAAATACAAGATTGCAACACTTGTGTTTCGAATTTTGTGAATTTGAAGGTTCACTACTGCCATCCCTGTCCAGAGAGCTCTCTACTTACAAGGCTCCCCGCTCTTCCAGTGAGAAACTGTTAAAAATCCAAAAGTACAACTTAAGTCAGCAGGACAGCGCTCTTTCAAATACAGTGCGCCCTAAGTTTGGAATGCTCTCCAAAATTAACTCCTCAATTCTCTTTTTCTAAGTTCATTCAATACCGGTTTAAAAACATTCTTATTTAAACAAGCTTTCCTTTAATATGTCCATTCCGTCCCATTTTTGTGAAAGAAATGCCCAAAGAGTCCTTTCGGAGATTAGCGCTTTATAAATGCTATCCAATGTTACTAGTATTATATTTTACAGATTAAAAATGAAAATGCAGCAGAGAGGGTTCGGCTGATCCTGGCACAGTCAGGCTGCTAAGGCTCATCATCAGCTTGGGGCCCTCGCCCCCTCTACACGCAGCCCAGACAGCGAATGGGACTTCTGCCTATAGTTTGGCATGAAATGCATGTGGACCCGTTTTTTGGTAAATATCTCTTCATCCAGTGACCCAATCGATCTCAAACTGTGCAAGTGGATGTTTTTTCAGACAACCTAATCACATTGTAAATCACCGATTTTATGCATTTGTATTAAAGAATCTGTCTATGTAACTGTCAACAAAATAAACAGTAGAACGCAGAATGCTTTCAGAGGGAGGGAGCCAATGACCTGTAACAGCGGCAGTGTTACCGACATATAACTGTACTATTTCTGATTGTGGAAAAAAAACACAAGTACATTCTACTAAGCCCAATCCAAGAAGCATTGCAAGGCAAATCCTACATTTTTTCTTAAAAAAGAAACCACTAAAGTACATTTACATTCCGGGGTTTTATATTTATTATTTATCTACAATTTCACCTGGAGTACCCATAACAAACAATGATTACATACATGAAATTTTTCAAGGTCAAGGGACGCGGTGACGACAATCTTGCCACTGGAGAGAGTTCCTGCCGTTCCTGTTCTGTGAAGCACGTTAGTATAACAACGTCATTCCGTCTAGATCCAAGGTCACCCCCGTGACTGCGCCTTCACAGTTCCGGACAAACATTTGACACCTGGAATGGAGTTATGTAAACGTACACCGAGTAAAGGAAATGGCGCAAAATATGCAGCAGAGCAAATAACTAGCGTTCAGGTTAGTCAAGGTAGTAATGGACAACGATAGCCTTGACGGTTACAAGCAATACGATACTCTGAACCTGGAGAAACTGTGGCCAGAACTCGTCCAGTGACATACTGGATGGGATGGGAGAGGGATGAGGTTGGACCGCCTGAAGATCCGGATTAGAATTGGTCTTCAGACACCCATGCTTATGGAAAGGGGGCGACGAACGGGATCAGGTGGTCAGGTTCGCTGACTTGGTTGACACATGTCATCGTATCCCAACTACTCATGATGTTGGTCACTGGAATGTCTGGTCCAGAGTCGATATGGCTGGAATACTGCTGAGTGCGGCGTTAATACACAAACAGACAAACAATAAAATAGGGTCGATTTACCGTTACTTACAGGAGTCCAGTCAAGATACAGGTTAGAATTGGTCATATGAATCCCATGAATTTTGTTCCTCACTCACATTTGAGTAATTTAGAGCAGTAAATGACATTTATCTGCAGCGGCCACATCACGCAATCTGCCAAATTACATGTATTCGTATTTCACTGTTGATTCTGTGTGATAGGTTTAAAGGTCTAAGTCTATCGATATATGTACGTTAACTTCTCCAGGTTGAATTCAGTCCTTTGCTTCGCTTTCACTTTGACATTGATAATTTTCAGCTTGTTTACAAAAGAAGTAGATGTAAGCACAATATTTAAGGATAAAAGGTGTTGCAGCAAGATTGGACCAGAAGCGGCCATAAAATCATTACTACACCTACCCGCGCCATACTGACAGACACGCCGTATAAGTACCACATAGTGGTTGGTGGGTTTTGTTGTTTAACGTCACACTCAGCAATATTCAAGCTATCTGGCAACGGTCTGTATAATTGAATCTGGAACAGACAATCCAGTGATCAACATCATGAGCAGTTGGGATACGATGCACATAGTGACTGTCACTCCACTATTTCTTTTGTCTCCATTTCTTAACAGGCAGCAGTACAAGGTATTTTTCACCAATCGCATTATCTAAAGACCCTAGTAGCTAAGTTTGGATATTAGCCAATGTTTATATAGTCATTTGCACAATTAGCTTCAAACTAATAAAAATGAAAATGATCATCTCAAAAAGTATTGGAAGTTCGATTATTACACAAACTGTCTTGTGTTTCAAGAACTGAAATACATATGCTACATACCAGGATCGACCAGCACCTGACTATTTAATCCATCACTGAGATGGGGAAACGCGTTTGTGATAAACACCCTGAAATAACAATGCCACCGTGATACTGCTGGAACATTGCTAAAAGCAGCGTAAAACTAAACTCACTCACTGAATCAACTGTGTCCATCCTGGGAGTCTGTGTTAATTCTTTCTTTCTTTTTGAGACTGTGAGTAATAATTATATTCCACTGGCATTTAATATTTTCTGTGAATATTAAAATACCGCTTGTACTCTTGAGGAGAAAAACTAATAGAAGCCATTCTGATGACAGCACCAAATTTTGTAGGGGCATTTTGTGACATGTGTATTTGTCTCAGAATGCTGTTTAAATCTAAGGCATCGCTTATTGGTTGGCATATTTCAAATTCAAGAACATGTCTTGTGTCTGGGGTTGCCAAAGGTTTAGGAAAACATCAAGAACTACACTCTGTTGTTATACTAAGGGCATTTTACTGGCCGTTGACACAGGGTCATTTTAACGGTGTTTTTTTAAATCATGCGGATCCTGTTGAAACACATGATCGTATCATGCCTATTTCTTTCATGATGACCATCATTTGATCACTTCAGGGGCGTGGGGTAGCCTCGTGGTTAAAGTGGTGAAGTGTAGATAAGCAATTCTGGACTGGATGATCCTACAATTGATATTAGGAGCAACTATCTACACCGTCGGGGCAATTGATAAATCAGTGTTAAATTCGAACCCGACCAGATGCAGCGGGGTGGCCGAGTGGTTAAAGCGTTCGCTCGTCACGCCGAAGACTCGGGTTCGATTCCCACATGGGTACAATGTGTGAAACACATTTTTCTGGTGTCGTGATATTGCTGGAATATTGCTAAAAGCGGCGTAAAACCGAACTCACTCACTCATAATCACGTGATCAGTTCATGGCTACCCTTATGAACGCAGAAACAAAGTCTCAGTTCAACACGAACCAAATCACTGTCTGTGGCCATGGTTACACGATTGTGGAGATTAGTTCCCTCCTTGACGACAGCTACGCTACAGAGGAGACACAAACACTATATAATTTTATCAATATTTGTTCACCTCTCACAAGGTCACAAGCATGGCGGCGCGCGTCCGGGAAACTGTTTTTCAACCCTGAAGATACACAAAGCATTATGAACATATGCAAAGGTCACCTGCAATAGAATTCAGATAAACATATCATACAGGTAATATTAAGGCGTAGTGTCTGGAGTGAGTGAGTTAGTAAAGACTGACAGTCACATCGGCACTTTTTCAGCCATATCGTAACTAAGATTGATCCTTGATCTCCTAATGTTAAACTAAAGTTGAAAGAAAGAAAAATCATGACTTTCATTGATGTTAAGACAATACGTTCTTCGTACACAAACCTTTCTTTCTTCCTCAACCAACAAAACCAGATCTATTATTCCTTTAGGATACTTCCTCTCATGTAATACCTGAGTGCACCTTGTTTGGAGGTCAGCGTCGGTGGGGTAGCCTAGTGGTTAAAGCGTTCGATCGGGTTCGATTCCCAGCAATAGTACTATGTGTAAAGGCCATTTTAGGTGTCCCCCACTGTGATATTGCTGACATATTGCTAAACGCGGCGTAAAGCTAAACTCACTCACTCACCTACTGGATGTCACATCAGGTGAACTCTTTAACCAGTCATTCACTGTAGAAGCTTAACTCACTCACTCAGTCGGATGTAATCAATGATCACTTCACATAATTTCGACCACCATTTGGCCTTTCACGCTCGGTGGATAATCGAGACTGGTTATTTTCTGGCGTTTACGTAAACTATTGTACCTTTTAGTTGTCGTTTTGCCACTCACTCACACACTCACCCAACTCACTCACTCACTCACACACTCACCGACCTGCGTACTTACATACAAAACAAAGAAGAAAGCCCTTCCCAAGTCTTGACGTGGAGCCAACGCTAAACACTAACGTCACGTCGCCGCTCGGGAACTCGAAATTGTTGTTAATGTCGCTGCCGGTCACGTTGACCTGTGACGTTCCATTCATGAAAAATATTATGTCCGATGTAGTGTCAACTTCAGCAGCTAGAAAAGTGATCCGAAGCTTTTTACGTGGCTTTGCAATAAAGACCGTTTGTTGGTATGACTGTGTGGATGGGTAATCCCATGGGAAATTCTGATGCGATCTGATGACCCCATCCTTCTTCGTCAGTCTGCTCTGAGGAGATTGCAAGATTTTATCTGCAAAAGATCAAGTTAAAACGACTACGGCATCATTTTGTATCTGATCATGGGTCGGTTGGTCGACAAATCAAATAATAATAATAATAAAGACAAAAGTATCTGAATAATTTTCTTGAGTCTCATTTTTTGTAATTTTTATTACAATTTCTTGGACTTGTGGCAGTGACTGATTTTAAGATAAATATTTTATATGTTAAGGCCGTACGTTTTAGGCTGCAGTCGGCGGTGTTGGAATGAAAAAAAAGTTATTTTTTGTTGTGGGGTGGGGTGGTGGTGGGGGTGGTTCGGCAATTAAAATGAGAAGGGTCGGGCGATGAGAAACACAGAAAATAAACATGCTGCCTCTATTTGTGCTTTTTTTTAATTGTTTAGGATGCTACCTGACCATCACTGTGTCACAACCTTAGGCTAATTACTGAAAAGCCATGTTACAAAGAATGTTTAATTCAAGAGCTTCATTGTTCCGCCGGATATAGAACACTGCGAAGGATGTCTTGAATATTCCTGTTCTACTGCTGAAGGTGTTGTTTCACCTGCTACCTTTGTGTTTGTTATTGTAGCAACTACTACTGCTTCGTTCACGCCATCTACATCACATTCCACGGGCGCTGTTCACAGTGCAGACTTAGTGGAACCTGTTGTCGTTTGTGCGAATCGCGGTCCGATTATATCTATGTTCTACTACTTCACCAGACGCCAGTCATACTACTACTACTACTACTACTACTACTACTACTACTACTACTACTAGCTACTACTACTGTCCGTTCCCAATTGTGCTACTACTACTACTACTACTGTTTTCACTGGATTTACCACTGGTCCAGCCTCGATTACTACTAGACCGCCGTTACTACCACTACTACTACTACTACTACTACTACTACTACTACTACCACTACTGTGCTACTACTACTACTACTGTTACTACTACTACTACTACTACTACTACTACTACTACTACTACTACTACTGCTACTACTGTTACTACTACTGTTACTACTACTACTACTACTACTATTGCTACTACTACTACTATTGCTACTACTACCACTACTACTATTGCTACTACTACTACCACTACTGTTACTACTACTACTACTACTGCTACTACTACTGCTACTACTACTACTACTACTACTACTACTACTACTACTACTACTACTACTACTACTACTACTACTGTTACTACTACTACTGCTACTACTACCACTACTGTTACTACTACTACTACTACTACTACCACTACTACTACTACTACTACTACTACTACTACTACTACCACTGCTACTACTACCACTACTGGTACTACTACAATTACTACTACTACTACTACTACTACTACTGCTATTACTACTATTACTATTTATCATCCAAAACTGTGTGTTCCACAGGAGATATCGTTACTGTGAGATCAAACGATATCTCCTAGGAGATATCGCTGTTACTGACAGTAGATTTTGTACAATGCCCTGACTAATGCTATGACGTCATGTACTTGATGACGTCACAATGCCATGACATACCACTGCACTGCTACGTACTGTTGGCAGTACCATGTTCAGAGATGTACATTTTCATTGAAAATTAATGAAGAGTGATTTTGATGATAATAGACTGTTACTCTTCGTGTCTTCTGATATCAATATATCAACACTCGTTGATAAAGTAAAATATCCTCGGCAAGCTTCGGATATTTGTAACTTTATCAACTCGTGTTGATATAATTGATATCAGAACTACTACTGTTAAGTGAGATTCTCTATTTATCCATAAACAATCGGGCTATAACCGGTCTTCAGCAAGAGACGACCAACTTGATGGGGCCGCTGATTTGGTTGATGCATGTCATCGTATCCTATTTGAATAAATCGATGGTCCAGACCCGACCACTTACAGACCACCACAATATAGCTCTACATTCGCCGAGGGAGGCGTTAATCAAACTGCTACTACCTATACTGGTAGTATGTGGCCTGGTGCCTACAGCCGAAGTCACAAATCAATTGAAGTTAAGCAAAGTTGGTCACAAAGAGTCCTTGGATGGGTGACCGTGTTTGACAGCTTGACTCCTGAGAGCTCTAGGACTTCAGACCTGTGCCAAAATGACACCTGTTGACTCACATTAGGCAGGTGAGTTTGTTCACAATTGCTTCTCTTCACCCAGTTGAAAATGGGTACCCGGTGGAATAAGTCATTTGACTGTTAACTTTCAAGCGGCTCACGGGCAGCTTGGGTACTCCGGGATAATTATGTCCATTATCTTCCATGTGTTTAGCGCATTCCCTTCCAGCGTGGAGCTTAGCGCTTCATAAGTGGTCTTATTATTATACTGCTCCGACTTTAACAAATATCCGATGCTAAGGAACCAACTGCTCTGGTTAGATGGCGAGCACGCACGCACACAAAAACTGCGACATACACACGATTAATGTTTCCGCATCAAAGAGTTTCCGGAGATATAAATATTCATGTGAGGAACTGTCGACCAAAGTCGACTACAGAACAACGTACATTGACGTGACCACAGACATGTATATTACCGAAGGGTTACATGCAGGGGGGTCCCCCAAGGAACTTCTGTCACAGTGGTAACAAGGCTTACGGAGTTGTCTCCCTTATACAGTTAAAAGTAAAGTCTTAGTGAGAAAAATATACTTCCTTTTAAAAGTTCAGACTCACTAGTGTAAATATAGCCACTTACTTCAGGCAACGGTTCTAAACTATATTTTGCAAAACATTCCAAACTCTTTGAAGGCACTGTTTACACATGAACTGGTGTATTGTGAAACAAATTCATAACGTTCAACAAATGATAAGAAATCAGTGGCGAATTCCTAACAAAACTTTACATACAACGCAGCTGTTCACATGAACGATATTTGCACATACTTTTCAGCAATTTGATGCATGATTCTCGTGCAATGCATCTTCAAAAGGTTTGCAGTTGGTTGTCCCGAGTTAACGGAAAAATCAATCTTTGATGTAACCATACACACACACACACACACACACACATATATATATATATATATATATATATCCATAACATATAGTGAGTGTTTCAAGTGAGTCTAAACTTTTGAAAGAAAGTATACATAACCTATTACACAAGCTCAACCCTCATGATGACATGACAACCTGTATCGCTGTTCCCTAGCTCATGTATGCCAAAATATTATTGAAGAAATACTTTGAGTAGCAACCACCGCCGCCGCGAGGTGGCGCGACACACCCCTTTTCGCGAGAAACAAATTTCCTGACCTGGCACACGGTACCAACTTTATACGCTCTCCTGTGGAAAATCCCAATAACCTTCACCTTTAACTTATGCAAATTTCGGAGGTCAGGTCATTTGTGTTGTCTTTGAACCTCAAAGTTTGAGGTTCAACAAAATTTCAATATTCCTTGCAACTTACTTCTTCGCACACACAAGGCCCTGGCGTGGAGCACACGTGGTCGGACGTTTACACAGTTTCCATTGATGTTGAGTATATTTGGCTGATCCTTGTTGAGGGGGAACTTGCACTTAGGATTCCAGTAACACGATTCAGCTACTGCTCTCAGAACTTCCGGTTGCAGACCGGAGCACGTGACCACACCACCACAGTTTCCATTGGTCGTGTTTGAGCTCCTTACATCGACGTAAAACATAGAAGTCCTCCTCCTACACTTGAACTCGAATTGTTTCTCGTTGTTAGGATACTGACTGCAACGCCTCTCACAAAATGCTGAAACATATAGCGACAGATAATCAAAATTTGTATCAAAATCTGCGTATCTGTAAGGAAAATGGTGTATGTCAAGCATGAGTGTATCAGTCTGTTTCGTATATATGCTCTCAAAACAATAGATGAACCTGAACTTTCAGCTTGGATAGGAAGTTTAAGCGTTAATAAACTCTTACAAACTTATGAACGCACCACTATTACAAAAACTGCGATATACACACGATTAATGTTTCCGCATCAAAGGACCCGTGAAGATCCGGGATAGAATAGGTCTTCAGCAAACTCATGTGCTTGCCATAAAAGGCGACTATGCTTGTCGTAAGAGGCAACTAACGAAATCTGGTGTCCTAGTTGACACATGTCATCGTATCCCAACTGCGTAGATTGATGCTCATGCTGTTGATCACTGGATTGTCTGGTCCAGACTCGATTATTTACATAGGCCGTCATATAGCTGGACCTTTGCTGAGCGGGGTAAAACTAATTCACTTACTCACTGCAAAGTGAGAGAATACTGTTCAACGAATACTAAATCAAGGCAGATCAAGGCAAATCTGTGGTTAATAGAATGAGCAACGATACACTGATTCAGCCTATTCACGCTAAAGATTTTAACCATCCTGTCCACATTACCTTCAAGAAATGGACCGTATCCCAGAAGAGTGAGTTCCATTTGGAACCAATATGTAAAAGTGAGTGAGTGAGTTTAGATTTACGCCGCACTCAGCAATATTCCAGCTATATGGCGGTGGTTTGTAAATAATCGAGTCTGGACCAGACAATCCACTGATCAACAGCATGACCATCGATCTGCGCAATTGGGAACCAAGCCAGCGAGCCTGACCACCCGATCCCGTTAGTCGCCTCTTACGACAAGCATGGTTTACTAATGGTTCATTCTAACCTGGACCTTCACGCCAAACGAAACGTTACCCTCCTACCTTTATGAATTACTAAAAAACTATGAAAGATCTGTTAGAAGGTATTAATGAACAAGAATGCCTAAGAACACAGCTTTATGCAAATCACGAAAAAATAATTTTCAAATACATTCATATTTAGGTGAAATGCATCTTTTTCAGAAGAGTTAAATTGTCCTATTTTCGCCCAAGACGAAATAAACCAATAACAGTGTTGTAGGTGTCCAAAAGATAGGTTGAAATAAAATTCTGCTTTGAGACAAAGAAAAACCATTTAAAGTCATCATTTTTCAACTATTGAAACAAGAAACAACTGTTGTAGAGTGTGTAAAATTGTAAAGAAATCATTTCTGCTGATTTGCATTAGTGAAAGCAAGTACAACGTGTCTTTGATATTGTGAAAAAGTGTTTAGGAACATCTAAAATGTTCCTTGTTAACATTTTTGTTTGCAAAATAACATTTTTCCATTTTCTGTTTACACATAGCAATATCAATCGCCAAAACGCAGCAATATTCAAGCAGTATTCGCCTCCATTTCATGTGTAGAATGATTTTATAGGGTATAAAGAGCGCCTAGAATGCATGATATGACAAAAAGTACGAGAAATATGCCACGATTAACAGCTGAAGAGAGAGAAAGAGACACTGCGATGGTGCAGATGGGGGTCTACATACAATTATGTTGCCAACACCCTCGGATGCCACCGTATCACAATCATAAGACTTATTCAGCATTACAGACAGACTGGAGTCACCGTAGGCAGACCAGGAAGTGGACGTCCATGCATCACAACGCCATCTGAAGATAGGTACCTCCGTCATTAAGGAAGGAGGGTAACGTTTCTTTTCGCGTTTAGTGTATTACAGATCACGAGGGTAGAGTGTGAGATTAAATAAATAATTACTGAGAAAGACTTTGTTAATAATAAATGGTTTTATGTATAATGTCCCTGTCAGTCGGATACTTGATGCCTTTTTCAGACGTAAGAAATTATTGATATATCTTAGAGGACGCTCCATACCGATGAACGATCCTTTAGGACATCGTATTCATCAAATGTATGCCTGAAACCAGTGGTCTCGGTTCGAATCCCAGATTCTCCAGTTATCGTGTTGTCAGCACCATCCCCATCTATTCTGACTTCATCAATGTCATGAACCAGTTCAGTTTGTGTTCAGATCGCAAATTTAAATTCCGTTGTCCCGGAATTACTCGTCACTTCACGAAGGAGCCTACGAGAAGTGGGCTCAGGGGAGGCAACTCGTACAGCCGTGATTGTCGACTGACTGAGATTGAAGACTTGTCTGTTAACGTTAGGTTCTTATTATAATTCTTTTATAATGCAACAGGATTCATCGATATGTATGTATGTATGTATGTATGTATGTATGTATGTATGTATGTATGTATGTATGTGGGGGTATACATACATACAGTATACACACGCACGCACGCACGCACGCACGCACACATACATACATTTACGCGAAACACAAATTCTGTCTGCACAAGGAGAGAATACAATCACTTTGCTGCACTAAAGCACGCTCTGGCTAAACTGGGTGCTTGTCTCATATGCGTTGCGTCACTTTGCATATATATTGAGTGGCAAACGAATGTCAGTCCAAGGACTGACTCGAAACCTGAACGGTTGCAGTGGTATTGTCACGCACAATAACAGTTTATTTCATGAAAACATTTACTTGTGGTGGCTATGCGATTAATTCTTTTCAATTTCGGGATGCCGTTGTTCTCCTGACACATTTTGGGCTACTCTAATGCGGTTTTCTGACATGTCATAATTTTGTTCATTACTACTGAATGTCACCCTTTTTTTCATAATATACTCAGGAACTTTATTATTGTTCATCAATACAAATTTCAAGAATATGTGTAGCAAAAGGTGCGAGTATACATTTTGAATTCCATAATGCCATTTTAGAAAAAAGGATACTTTGTGATTATTGTTCCTATCCGGGATTCGAACCCGCACCCTCAGAGACAGGCACCTAATCGCCAGCACAAAGTCAGACGCCTAGACCGCTCAGCCACCGCGGTTCAGGCTCTCAGCATTGGTCGGGTAGGGAGTATATGACGGCGGGGTATGACGGCGTCTGACTTTGTGTGCTAGCGATTAGGTGCCTGACTCTGAGGGTGCGGGTTCAAATCCCGGATGGGACTCAACCCAAAATGCTTTACTAAGAAAGTGTAATCCCAAAATATGACATATGTTGTATACATTGCTGATAAATAAAATATATGTATACCATGCACATCGAATTTCAGCGGTTAACAATGGTCATTCTGGATCAATGGGAATAGAGGAAACAAGTTTTTGAGAATTTATCAAAAACATTATTTCTTTTGGATATAAATTTTTCAACCATGAATATGTCTTTTAAAATCTTTATAAAGTTTTCTAAGCTAGGAATTCAGGGTGCAAATATAGATGTGTCTTTCAGCAGAAAGTATTGTATGACAAAGTAGTGGGTTAGTACTTAGAGTACCAAACCAAACGTGAAATTTTGTCAATTGCAATTCCTGTATGTTTTGATCAATCCAAATTTACAGAACATTCGTAAAAAGGAACTTAACACTTTAAGAAATAGATTAGATTGAATAGGTGGGACGAGGTAGTTAATATGTGAGAATACCATAATGACCAGGTCTTTTCTGACACATCCCCCCATTCCCACTGTGGTGCACAACGCGGGGAACATGCAGCAAGCTGTATTGGGAAAATTCACCAACACGTGTGCAGAATTTGCTAGTGAAAAGCACATTAATTATTAAGAGATAAATAATTCTTACGCTATGCCTCACAAATGTGCCCCCGCCGTGATGTTGCACGGGTTATTGCTACAAGCGGCGTAAAACCACACTCACTCACTACAAACATGCAATTGGCATGCTCCAGGCTGGTCAGTCTACTGTGGCTGTTGCACGTGTCATAGGATGCTGACAATTCACAACCTGAGAACAATCAAATTTGTCCTGCAAACTGACCGACCGAGGTTCGGACGGACATGTGTGACGTCACCCGTGAAGGTCCGGGTTAGAATATTGATCTTCAGTAACCCATGCTTGTCGTAAGAGGCGACTAAAGGGATCGGGTGGTCAGGCTCGCTGACTTGGTTGACAAATGTCATCGTACCCCAATTGCGTAGATCGATGCTCACGCGGTTAATCACTGGATTGTCTGGCCAAGACTCGATTATTTACAGATCGCCGCCATAAAGCTGGAATATGGCTGAGTGCGGCGTAAAACTAAACTCACTCACTCACGTACCGAAGACAATCAAATTCGGCTATTTGCGTAATCATTTCACGACCGCAACGTCAACAAGTAACACACTGTTTAGGGGTCAAGTAACTGCCCAGACCATACGGGACCGCTTGCGGGCAGCCCATCTTTGTGCCCGACGTCCTATGTTGGGCCGATTCTGACACAGGTAAAGCAATTCGAACTTGCCAATGGGACACCACACACAACTGTGTGACACGAAATGTCCTGCAAAATGTGGGTATTGACGACATGGAGTGGCCATCGAGATCACATGACCTCACTCACATCGAACCTTGAGACGCCAACCCCAGTATGTTCAAGAGCCGGGCGCAATTCGGTACAGCAATGGCGCAGGTTGCCTAATACCTTGTTCACGGAAGTTAGGCAGTCAATGAGACAACGTTGCCTTGCTGTTGTGAATGCGAGAGGGGACCACACGTGGTACTGTACAAGCTCCAATACAGATGGCTCGGCCCTTTGAGTGAGTGAGTGAGTTTGGTTTTACGCCGCTTTTAGCAATATTCCAGCAATATCACGGCGGGGGACACTAGAAATGGGCTTCACACATTGTACCCATGTGGGGAATCGAACCCGGGTCTTCGGCGTGACGAGCGAACGCTTTAACCACTAGGCTACCCCACCGCCCCCTCGGCCCTTTGAAATGAATGGCGAATCCTGTTTTAGTGTACCTTCATTACGTCCATAAACCAGATTGATCTACCGGAAACTTTGTTCTAAAAACACCTGAGTAAAACACCTGAAGTTTCTTTTTATTGGTTAGTGTACATGTGATTTTCTAGCGAGAATAGCTGCAATATGGCTGATGCGGCTTAAGCACTTTTTTACTCACTCACTCAACACTGACATAACTGAAACCTTGTAGAAGTTAGTGAGTTTAGTTTTACGCTGCACTCAGCAATATTCCAGCTATATGGCGGCAGTCTGTAAATAATCGAGTCTGGACCAGACAACCCATTGATCAACAGCATGCGCATCGATCTACGCAATTGGGATACGATGACATATGTCAACCAAGTCAGCGGGCTTGACCACCTGATCCCGTTAGTCGTCTCTTACGACAATCATGGATTACTAATGGTTCATTCTAACCTGGACCTGGTAGGAACACAATTCACTTAGTTGTAGGACTGACTTTCAGAATAGATTGTTCAAACAGATATCACAGCACAATTGTACAACAATATTTTATCTTTTCTAAATTTTACGTTTGAAAAATACATCGATATCAGTTAAATTATCTCGTAAATAATCTATCCATCCATTCATATTATTTTGAAAAATACAAACTGTTATCGTCACACTTCGATGCCGGGGTGCACAAATATTTTCCTCTACAATCAAAGTAAATCATATCTTCCCTTGAACCCGGAAACTTGGGTGAGGAAGTTGACACCATTTATCCTCATACAAGTCACGATGAAGGATGGAATATTGAGGGCCACATACCTGTGATTAAGCAGAGATTGCAGCTCAATGTCAAAACCCATATAAGGGCATGTGTCTCCTCGCATCTCATGGTTTTCCTGTAGGTGCGAACGAGGCTGTACAACAAGTTTCCTCACTCCACATTTGTAAATAAATACTGCTTGTTTCCGCGTTTCGTTCGCTCACACCACATAAATGTAACCAAATACTTCTCACAAGACGTCACTGAGGTCATTAATGTCAGTCGTATCTTTGTACGTATATCGGGGATCCTGTTAAATCCCTTCCAATACATTTTTGTGCATGGCATTTTGTCAAATTTGTTTAAATATATTCTGCATATCTCATTGCCGGAGAGAAATGCGCTATATTGCTTAATGCATGCTGTTCGTGGTTGATATGAAGGTGTTTACTTTCCTTATCTCATCTCCGCTCTGGAATCCGTCTTGTCTGGATGGGCGGTATAGCCTAGTGGTTAAAGCGTTCGCTTGTCACGCCGAAAACCCGGTTCAGTTTCCTACAAGGGAACAACGTGTAAATCCCATATCTGATGTATCTGGACCTATTATTGCTGGAATAGTGATAAAAGCGTCGTAAATCCACACTCACTCACTCACTCACTCTTGTCAGGGTGATGTCCAGAAATTGAAACATTCTTTTGGTGCATGGTAAGATTGAGTAAACAAGCATTTGTGTTCCTTACAAAATGATTTTGTGTTGTTGTTATTGTTGTTGTTGTTGGCCAGTTTGCATGCGATCGAATCATACTCGCTTAAAATACCCAACACACTCTACTAAAATACATTACCCAAAGGGCCAGTCATACGAAACATATATTATTTCAGTCACAAGACATATTCCAATATTAAAAACAAAATGATTAAATTTAACATTACACGAGAATATTTAAAAAGATGCACAAATATTTGATTCAAATTAACACTTAACCTTTCATGTGTTGCCAAGGTAAAGAAAGGCACACGGTTAAGACAGTAGAGAATCAAAGACAGAAACGTTGCTTACCTGAGAGAAAATGCAGTTCGTATATTAGTCAATCACCGAGTGATGTGTGGCTAACTGCCCAGTAACTGGCGCCTCTTATTTAAACTAGTATACTACACCGATAATAGTATTGTCTGATTAAAAAGGCGATAATGTTGTTATTGTGAAATTTAGTGACGCTATCTCGGCAAATTACATAATTTAATATAACCACGGTATCGACGATAGAGGGGTTGATGTTATGGTGTGACCTCCATGCATAGTAATTCGGTGTTGTTAAATATAATGCATATGCATACCAAACACGTGTGACAGCTGTACAGTAATATCGTTTTAAAGTAACACTTGAACACATGTGAGCAACTAGTCAGATGGATGCTAGGCGCTATATAAATGAATTATTATTATTATGTTTTACAGATTAAAGATTGTATGCAGCAGAGAGGGTTCGGGTGATCCTGGCACAGTCAGGCTGGTAAGGCTCATCATCAGCTCAGGGCCCTTGCCCCCTCTACACGCAGCCCAGACAGCGAATGGGACTTCTCCCAGGAAACGCTGCCTAGTCGAACCCACCAAGAACCTTCCGGAGAATATGAAGGCTCCCCAACACTGCAATGCATTACCCAGAGTGTAGGGCTGTATTGGAGAATTATGCTCCTGATCTGTGCCAAAGATCAGGAGGTACCAAACCATTCCAGAACAATGGGGAGCCTGACGACAGTGTACCTGGGATGCAAGCGAGACATTTCAAAGGCGAGGTCCGCATATTTATCATGCTTTTCCTGAATCTTGCCAATCACATTGGTGTCAAAAGGGACAGAAAATTCAATGATATAAATAAATTATTAATATTATTATTATTATTATGCTTGTTAAATGTCGTTAAAAACATTCCAGGATAAAGCGCCCCTCGCATAAATCGTCCCATCTCGCCCCTATCCGTATCTAAAGAGTGTGTCATCCGGTATGAAACGAAATGTCCCGAATGTACACACACTCAATTATTCTCCAGTAGTAGCTAGTCTGTCTCACAGTCCCTGAACCATATTATTTTCCCCACAGCCTAGCCCTCCCTGCAGTGCTAAAGCCCTAAATGAAGCAAGTCTAGATTTCCCAAGGTTTCTGAATCTCCGGTCTCCCTTGGGCTCCTTTTCAATTTAAATGGGTTTATTTGTTACAGTCAAAATTCTATATTCAGAGACTAAGCGTTAGTCTACAACAGTAGCGTATGACGACTGAAGAGGAAGTAGGTCGACTCAGCGAAATAGACGTAAGTGACAACCTGACACAGCGCGTTTTTCAAGTTTTGATTGACTGCAAGACGAGGATCTAACGCCTACCGCTATCGTCACCCCCTTCCTTCACAGGGAAGTCGTTCTTATTGACGCTGTAATAGTACAATCCAGGAGGTTCCTTCCTCTCATGGACACGTGTCAGATACAAGGCTTCCGCCTAGCGTTCTGACCTGTTAATGTTGCATCTAGCTTAGACTAACATTTAGTCCCTGAAATGAACATATTTTAAAGAACAGTTCCTAAATTATAATAATTAAATATAATGAAAAGGAGCCCAGAGACTAACTTCATTTTCACTTAATGATAATCTGGACTTGCCACATATTCTAGACTTGCATGGGATTCTTGGATATATTTGTTTCAGGGTCTGTATGACAGACTTAATCTAGCTGACAGTCTCTGTTTCAGTCCTTTATCCGTATCATTTTCCCGTCCCTTCATTGTATCTCTATGGCTCTAAATGAAGCGAGTCTTTCACGGGTGTTTTTTCGGTGTATTTGTAGTTGCGTTTTTCTATTAAAATCATATTTCATAAGGCTAAGCGCATGCGTGCGTGCGTGTGCATGTGTGTGTGGTAACAGCCAACCGTGTTGCTCCAGTTGAGCACCTTTCCCAGACAACTGAGAAAAGTCCTTTGTGTAGGTGGTTCCTTGTATTAAATGGCTATGCTTCACGGAACTCCAGAAAAAAGTTCTATTGTCCTGTTTGGGGACTTCGGGTGTGTCTGGGCTGTGTACACAAGCTTAAACTTGTATACTTTCCTCAAGAAGGGCACTGCTAATACCCACAGTGTTTGTGCTAGTCCGGACGTACGTGAGTTTCATAGTGTAAGCCCTCTGGGATACCACGCTGAATATGAATATCCCATTCAAACACAATATAATACCAAGACGGAAGTGTAGGACTAAGCATCATGTTATCATATCTCGTTATATGGCCATTTGCTTGCTTGCTTGTTTGTTGATTAACAGAACGCTCAGCGGTATTGCGGCGGTCTGTAAACGACGAGTCTAGACCATACAATCCAGTGATCAACATCATGAGCATTGATCTACGCAGTTAGGATACGATGACATGTGTCAATCAAGTCAGCGAGCGTCACCACCCGATCCCCTTTGTTGCCCCTTTCGACAATCATGGGTTACTGAAGATCAATTCTAACCTGGATCTTCACGGGTCAACTCGACGTTTAACCCATTTTGAACAGTCAACTGTAGATAAAGTGTCTTAAATACAAAGTCTTGAACAAAGAGTCTGTTTAATCACTTTATTTGTCTTCATGTTGTTTTGGCATGCTATGCTAGGCGCTATTATTTGTAAAGGGAACAGATTATCACAAACAATTACAAATATACGACATCTCCATCCTCTTTCCTCTTATGCGACGTTGATACTATTGTAATTTCTCCTTCAATGTGTAGTTCCGAGTGGCGAGTCGAGAACTACCCAACAACGTTCACAGCGTCTTTCTCTCCCTCTTCTCCCTCTTCTTCCCCTTCTTTCTTCTTCCTCTCCCACGATTCTTCTTAGGTTGGTTCGTGCGTCCAGGTTTGGATGGCCTTTTCTTTTTCTTCAATTCTGTAAACAGAGATATCATCATTTGAGTGGCTGGGCGGTGAAACTGGTTTTCATATATTTCATGACCCTCCTTCCACCTACTCCTCCCTATAATACATTACCAGTCTGTATTTAGTAAACAATAAACATAATCATGTCATCCGTCATCCTCTCTTCTACATATTGGGGGGATACGTTTTGGCGACCCCACCTTCAATGTCATTGATAATGATGAGGGTACTTATACCGCGCAATACTCCACAACACAAGGGCATGAATCAGTATGGTAGAAGATAGTCGTAAATATGAGCTTGGAAAGAGTTACTTTTTGTATTGGCTGAAAAGGTGTGTTTTGAGGTTACATTTGAAGAGCTGTACGCAGTTTAAGTGGAAGTGAGTTCCATAGTGCAGTTGCAACTGAAGCAAAAGAGCGGGCACCAAATGTCTTGAGGTTGAATGATGGGGGATCCAGTAGGTGTTGGTTAGTGGATCTATTTATAAACGAATTTATAAGGTGAGTTTTCGCTGTCATGGGTGATCCATGATTTTGGCTTGGAATTGCGGAGGTAGCTGTTTTCTGTGAGTCGTGGCGTATAACTTTTGAAATAATGATCCGATTATGACCATTTATAGCCCATCTTGTAGGAAAATTATCTCGCCTTCGATCCGTAGGCCTCAATGGGGCCTTAAAAATAGTTTACGTGGTGAAATCTAACTTATATTGAGGAGGGGGTGGTTCCGTCGTTACATCCCTTTCCATTTATATAGTTCTAGAATAGGGTCTATATACCTATATGTCTTTCTAACGCTGTTTCTAAGCGTGACACGCCCCTGTGATTATAGGCACTTTATCTGGGTTTTGGAGGCACGTGTTAGCAGAATGTTGCAAAAGTCCCATGATGACAGAATGAGTGAGCGAACAAGCAGAGCGGTCTTCACCCCTTAATCATATGTGAGTGAGTGAGTGAGGTTAGTTTTACGCCACACTCAGCAATATTCCAGCAATATGGCGGAGGTCTGTAAATAATCGAGTCTGGACCAGACAATCCAGGGATCAACAGTATGAACATCGACCTACGCAATTGGGATACGATGACGTGTGTCAACCCAGTCAGCGAGCCTGACCTCCCGATCCCGTTAGTCGCCTCTCAGGACAAGCATGGGTTACTGAAGATCAATTCTAACCCGGACCGTCACGGGTATAATGATAAGTAATACTAATCGGGACCAATTTCTGAATACTACACACGCATATATTCCAGGACAAACGTGACCCTAACCTGTCATCACATGGCAATCAAACTACATGATTCGCCGTTACAGGGATACAGAATCTACAATATTGTCCAACAATTTCCAACGTGTCGGACTTATATGATCAATACGTACAGAACACTTGGGCGTTGGTCTGCTATATAATCTCTTTGTACATTGCAGTTGTTGTGTGAATTGATATCAATATTCGATCTAAAGCAGCATGATAAATAGGGAGGGAGTCTTACCTGAATATGTGTTAAATGAACCTAGATCTATTAATATACACGGAATAGTAAACTTCGTTCAGCATTGCTTGATAAAACGCATTGTATCAGGAAATGAATAGGGATTTTGGCCATTTTTCCCCTCCAAAGTCAAGTTTCCTTAGGTCCTGGTAAGTTTTCTCACGGGCTATCACGGTATCCGTGATGGGCCGTTGGGATAAACGGGATGCTGAGTCATGGAAGCTCAAAGGCACACTACGGTTCGGCCCGCAGTCCTCTACGGATGTCATTACGTTTCCCCTGGCCTGTCGCGTTCTGATGGGTTCTGTCACGTTTCTCACGTTTTGATCAAGGTTTTGACACGTTCTGCGCGTTCTGTCAAGACTTTCTACGGATGAAACGTGGACGCCGGCCAGCTTTGGACCACATTTGTGCCCACGGTATAAAAATAAGGTCTCCCAAGCAATCGCAGCCATTGTATCCTGAGACACAAGAGGAGCTAGAACCTCAAAGATAAAGAAGATTTTTTGCTTGTATGTTTGCTGGGGGCATACATCCAGTCCTTGCGTCAGCAAATGGCGAGCATCAGCTGCAGAGAGGGAATGTTAGAGAACGCAACGTGCCGTATCTAGCCTGCCCTGTAAACCGTCACACGCCTGGTTGCATTGTGATAGAACGGAACGAATCGGATACCATACAATCAAACTTGCCATGAGACTCGGGACAAAACGGGCATCAAGGGTGAATAACCTTGACAAAATGCTAAACAAACGTGACCGAACGTGACAAATACACATGCCTCCCGTCCCACTGCGGACCCACTAGGGACCGTCTACAAGTTTTGTTACTACCTATTAACTGCTGTCACGTTTTGCTGCGTTCCCCCCGTTTCACTAAGGCCTACTAGGTTTCTCATTAGTACCGTGACTGTCGTGGCAAATCTTTGAACAATTTAAAAATCTGGCACGGCATCCACGGCAATCACGGACTGTCACGTTTGCTCATTCAATCTCCCAACATTGTCTCACGTCCATCCCGTTTTGTCCCCGTTTCGGCGAAACGGGGCTGTCGTGGCCGCCGGAAATATAGTGTAACCCTAGCATAAGCGTCGAGATATGTTGAACTGTTTTATGCTCTAACCACCACGGCCATATCATGGGTTTGCTGAAGTTCAAAGTACAGTCATAACTACGGTATCTACATTGAACTACGCTTAAATATGTCAAACTACGTTTAACTTAGGTCCAATACGGGTCTACTACTGGTCAACTACGTTCATGTCCGGAAGATGTGACCACCGATTCAGGGTGGATATACCGGACGGCGTTATATTCTTCTAAAGCACTGCGTTACTGATACTCACTGCTGCAAATATCTTCCTGCGAGAGGTCTTGTTCTGGCTCCGTCCCTGGAACAACAAATTAGACAGCAAATTGTTCGCCAGAACAACAACTTAATGTTCCCTATAGTAAAAAAATGATAGCAAATTGTCCTCAGGAAGAACACACTTTGTCGCAGAACATTCTCACATTTCTTCTTCTTTCATACTTTATTTCTTTCTTCTCCCTTTCGACACCAACCATCCCTGACTGTTTCTATCTTCCCCACCCCTCCCCCAAATCCTGAAACTTACAATAGTGAGAGAGTGAATGACTCTAGTTTTACGTCGCACTATTCCAGCTATATGGCGGAGGTATGTAAATAATCAAGTCTGGACCAGACAATCCAGTGATCAACAGCATGAACATAGATCTACGCAATTGGGATACGATGACAAGTGTCAACCAAATCAGCGAGCCTGACTACCCGATCCCGTTAGTCGCCTCTTACGACAAGCATGTGTTACCGAAGACCTAAATTATTTTTAGCATGGGTTACTGGAGAACTGTTTCTAACCCGGATCTCCACGGGTACTTACAATAGTAACACACGATGAAACCCTGAGCTGTTGCAGAGGCATTGTTTGTGAAGAACTTGATTGTTGTCACAGCGTGATCCTTATCTATTTTCCCCGTGATCACTGCTGACTTGCCCATGCCTGTGGCGTTGATGTTGACGTTCTCTCCGTTGTCGTTGTAGGTGTAGTCGGTGATATTGGCGATGTCGTCCGGCTCGTCAATATCCATGGTGGGTACGGTTACAAAAAGCTTGTTCTTCGTAGTGGAGGTTGATCTCAGAGTGAGAGTTATGATCAGATCGCCCCGATAGTGCCATGGATAGTCGCTGTGACTTACAAGCATACCTTTCTCGGATGTATGCTCTTTCGTTTGTCGTGTGCCGTTGTCATGGAGAATAAAAATAAGATCTGTAACAGACAAAATAGGTGCATGAGACATGTTTCTGGAAGGCTGAATTTCTGTAAAATTCGACCATGGCCGTTAAGAAAGGCATTGGTCAGAAACAGTGCCATGTTCATAGGCAAAAATGTACAATGATTCTTTATGCCTGAAAGAATATATAAAACGTGTAGAAAAAATACCAATGAATAATATATATCTTGAGATATAAACATAAAACCCTAAGCTATGTTTTCTTTTTGATACATGTGTCATATTTTATTGCTAAAGGAGAAATTCTTCTATTATATCCTCATATTGCTTCATTCGCAAACATGTAAAATCTCGATGGAACTTTTTCTGTATCATTCAAAAATTTAAAGATATATTACACGTGAAACCCCCAATAAGGAGCTCTTCGCCGAAGTCATGAAGGCACAGTTTGAACAAGGCCATGGACTCTGGGGCAATGAAGTGTCATTCGTGTCATTGAAATGGTACTAATGAAAGCGTGATTCCTAGTTTGCGCACTGTTCGCGTCCTGTTTACGCATAAGTTACGCACTTGGCACGCAATGCGTAGCCGAAAATGGCGCTCATTGGCGCGCATTGGCACGCTATTGCACGACTAGATCAAGTACTGTTGGCGCATTGTTTACGTCTAGTGTACGGGATGGTACGCACGACGCGCATAGTTCCAACATAGGCATGCGTTGCCACAACCACTTCGCGCATTCGTGAAGCAGTCGTGGTATTATTTAGTCCCGCTTTTTCCCGCTTGACACCAAGCTATATTAAAAGCAGGCATCACACCAAGCTTCATCCATTGCGGTGGACCTACAAGATGATGAACACTAGAGAACAAGCTCTTACTGCAGAATAGAAAAGGGCTCTATATCTCGTAGGTGCACAACTATTACTTCTTGAAGACCAACAAATTCAGCCAGAGGAGGCCAAAGAAGAAGACGTAACCCCAGCTAGAAAAAAAAGCAAGGACAGTGTGGGTGAGGAAATGGCTGACTAGAAGACATCACTTCGGACATTATGATCCACAAGGAAATCCAAGAGGCTATAGAAATTATCTGAATTTCCCCGGACTTGTTCAAAGACATAGTAGAGAAGTTAAGCCCTCATCTTGAGAAAAAGACCACATCCATGAGAGAACTTGCTGAAAATCGAGCTGGCAACCACTTTTCGCTTCCCAGCCACTGGGTGGGGTAGCCTAATGGTTAAAGCGTTGGCTCGTCAAAAGACCCGGGTTCGAAGCTGGCAAACCATTTCTGCTTCCCAGCCGTGATGTTGCTGGAATATTGCTAAAAGCGGCGTAAAACCAAACTCAGTCAGTCAGTCAGTCCCAGCCACTGGTAATTCCTATGCAAATCTACAGTACAGATTCAGAGTTGAAGCAACTATAATCGGCAAGTTCTTACCACAGGTTTGCCAAGCCATCATTGAGGTTTACAAGGACGAAGTACTCAGGTGCCCGAAACTGTACGGGAGTGGAAGGAGGTTGCTGAAGGTATTAGTTCTGTGGGCTGTGGACGGCAAGCACATGCACGTTGCTATGAGGAAGCCACCAAAAGCTGGATCATTCTACTACAATTAAAATTATTTAACAGACAGTGATACGGTGCCGTACTTACAACCCTTGGTGCAACTGAAATGAACAGACAGCGATACGGTGCCGTACTTAATACCCTTGGTGCAACCGTAATGAACAGACAGCGATACGGTGCCGTACTTACCATCCTTGATACACCTGTATTGAACAGACAGCGATATGGGGTGCCTGGGCTAGCAACATTTGATACGTGGTGCTTACTATGACTTTCTGTTGTATATATGCATACACGTACCTTCCTTGATACAACTGTATTGAATGAACAGTGACATCGGGAATTTCCCTATACAGTTATGGTTGGAGGTCTTGACAATTGGGGCACGTCGGTTGTAGGCGATGAAGCAGCTTCTCTTCCAGTAGCAGGAGTTGGAGTCGGTGATGACCTTTGGCTGCAGGCCGGAACAACTGTTGTCGGTGGTGTTCGTGCAGCTGTCGACGCTGCTGGTGACGTTGATGAAATAGATAGAGTTTTTCTTTTTGCATCGTAATCTGCCAATGGACTCATTTTCAGTCACTTCCTCACATTTACCTGAAATAAACACAGGTATGTGACAAAACTCACTGGTACGTGTTATCTTCTAAATCTATAGATAATTACGAATATACATTGCTTTCTAGAAAGTGGTAAGATGTGACGAATGATATATTTGGGATTACAATACACAATTTCTAGTCCGTCTTTAGGTTGAGTGACTTTCAGGATTCGACCCCAAACTTTCACTGATTTAACCCAATTAGCCACTAAGGCTTTCACAAATGAATAAAAGGTCAACTTGTGTACCCCTCTGATAAGTAAAATTGGATAAAAGTTGTAATCCCAAATATAATATTAGTTCATTTCGCCACTTTCTGGAATGCATTGTGTAGTTACATATTTCCCCTATAAGAGCCGTTCCAATTTATAACTGCTAGATGAATTTTCCATGTTTATTAATGTGCACGTAAACTGTCTTTAAGCATCTTATGTTACATGCAACTGTTTAGTACACAATCCCTAGTATACAGTACACAACCCTGTGCACTTAAAAGAAGTAAATGACCAGATGTTGGCCACATGAATATGTGCAAACACCTAGTTGCGGGTACAGAAACGCGCTGTAAACATGGACAAAGTACTGTGACTATGTGACTATGTGTCCCAGTCCACCCAGCAGCGAATGGGTACCTCGAAAGGATGGGAAAGCCACATTAACTTGGTGCGCCTAGTTGCTGCTCGAGTTGTATGTTCCCCATGGAGCTGAGATTGAAAAAATACGATGTGCCTTTGAGATTGGCATTAATGATCGAGGGAAAAACAATTCCCTTTGAACATGCATGTACATGGGATGGACTATAGCGCTATGTAAATAGCCATACAATAAAACAGTAATAATGACTGTTTGCTTCAGAATGCCACCCATTAATCAACTCAAAGAGAAATGGGAGTAGAGTGGCGCTTGAAGATATCATTATGTGTACAGTGACAGGCTATATGGCGGCGATCTGTAAATAATCAAGTCTGGACCAGACAATCCAGTGATCAACAGCATGAGCATCGATCTACGCAATTTGAATGAGGTGTCAACTAATTCAGCAAGCATGACCACCCGATCCCGTTAGTCGCCTCTTACGACAAGCATGGGTTACTGAAGACCAATTCTAACCCGGATCTTCACGTGCCAAAATGATACGTAAGCGCGGAATTGTGTTGGCCCTAAGGTTTTCCATATTTCCGTTGCATGTCCTGTATTTGAGATTAGTAAGTGTTAGAGATCTGATATGCCGAGACTGTGACTACTTACGCTTGTCAGGTTTTATCTTCTTGGGTCTACTTTTACCTTGCCTCTCAGGTCTTACCCTCTTTCCTTTACTTTTACCTTCAACGTTACATTCCAAAGAAAGGCACAGAAGCAGAATGAGAACAATTCCGAAGAATGCGGGAGTAAATTTTGGAACACACATCCTCCTTATGTCTCTGGCGTTACATTGCGGTAATGTGCCAGCACTGCTTAGCGATGCTAGATCCTGTTTCTTCTAGGATCTAACACCGCGGTTTGCGTAAGCTTGATAAGAAGAGCACTGTTGGCATTCCCAGGCAGAGGTTCCACGGTTCCTGCTGTTTATCCTAAATACCGGAGGTTGCAATTAAAGCTGCACTTGCTGCTTGTCTATGTTGTGCACATTTAAATGTCAAACTGTCCCGTAAATATAAACTTGAGATCATATGTTAGAAAAGAGTCTCTCGTAATGAGCCATTTCAGTTTACTGGGGTATTTTTAACTGGGATGTAGGACATATCCGATTAATGAGTGTCAGTATATATGTTAGAGATGAATGGGCATAAATTTACCTTTACAGTAATAATATTCAGAACCTTGATAAAATGAAATAATTACATATTTTGATGTAAGCTTGGGCATAAATGTTTCTTAGATGGGGTCTTAGAGACCTAAATCTGAAAGTTTCAAACGATTTATATCTGGACGATCTCACTGTTTCTGAAGAGGGGTGATTTCAGGTTTCCTGTCGTTAACGTTCACTTCCTGTCGAGCAACATACCACCAGCTGATTACAGCAGGCTCGGCAAAGGGCAGAAACACTGACGTTTCTATGGAAACTATTTGAGTAACGGTACAACATGAGATGCGTCAATTTCGTGAACACCTGTTGGAAGTGTATGAATTGGTTCACTGAAAATCCGGGAATGTTCACATGAACATGTTTATGGTTAAATGTCTAAAGCCATGTCAGATTGAGTTAATATACAACATGAACACCGCCATGTTGCGTTATACGATTCCACCCATATTGTGTATTATATATTACCGTTGAATGCATCATGTGTTGTACTCAGTTTAGTGTTGAATGGAAAGGAACGGATGGTCGTCAAGTATACTTGATATATGAAACATAAATGTTAATACCAAATGTAAAAAACAAATATAAGATAGGTTAATATAAGAGTGAGTGAGTGAGTCTGATTTTACGCCGCTTTTAGCAATATTCCAGCAATATCACCGCGGGGGACAGCAGAAATGGGCCTCACATATTGTACCCATGTAGGGAATCGGCGTAGAGAGCGAACGGCTTAACCACTAGGCTACCCTACCTCCCCGGTTGATATGAGAGTAAACTTTACACTAATAGAAACGCCACAGTTTGCACATGCAGCACCCAGTAGTGCCGCACAACGGTGTAGGTTGTCATTCCCGATTTCAACACTTCCTAGGAGGGTCTATGTAGGCCAGTATTGCTCTCAGTCCTACTGATTGCGTCCGTCATATACTTGTGGTTTGGTGAGCGGTGGGGTAGCCTAGTGGTTAAAGCGTTCGCTCGTCACGCCGAAGAACTGGATTATATTCCCCACATGGGTACAATGTGTGAAGCCCATTTCTGGTGTCCCCCGCCGTGATGTTGCTGGAATATTGCTAAAAGCGGCGTAAACTAAACTCACTCACTCACTCACTTGTGGGATGGTTTGTTTCATCCGTTGTTTGTGTACAAACTTCGGTTGCGGCGTTTGCAAAGCACCTAGAGTCTAGGCGCTATTGACAAGCTGGAAACTGTCAGAAAACCGCGTACCGAGGTCACGGCATTCGATGTTTCAGTCTGCGATTTGCAGACAAGCCAAACATGGTGATGATCGACCCGCTCAGGGCGTCCAAGGACAAGAGTACAGGACTGAACCGAAACCAAGCTTTGAGAATTCGAGTGGATCAAACTGCTTCAGACTTAGATCATGATAGTGAAGGATGATTAGAATCGTCCACAAGCAGCTCATCTTCATAATCAACAGACAAATTTTGCAACGTAATAGTTATAGTAATAGTAATAGTCCGCTTATATGGCGCGCATATCCAGGCGCATTGCCTGCTCACGGCGCTACGTACATTACTATCCCCGGTCATAGGACACTTTCGTACTTTCGGATACTCTTTCAACTCCCTTGGGAACATCCCTTGTTAGGCACAATGAATTAAATACTCACATTGCCCGCACATCCTCCCGGGTACCCATTTTACAGGTACAAGGATATGGACGGTATTGTCGCGACAACACGACAATGCGATATATTCATTATGTCGCATTGTCGCGTTGCCGTGTATTTTAAGGGGGTCACTTACTCACTCACTCACTCACTTCTTAAAGTGAACTCCTTTCAAGGCTGATGGTTCGTATCCTAACGTGGCATGGCAATATTTATGGAATATGTACATGTCTGAAATAATTACTCAACAGCATTAACCATTGCGGACAATAATACCACAAATAGTAGTAAAGTATATTCCTCGGCCATTAGTATTCCTTCTACAGAAGTGAATTTTTCTGTATTTGTTGCCAAAAAAGTCAGTTATGAGGAAGTCCTAGTACGATCACAAGAGAGAGAAGTTTTTATTTTTGTTCAAACCAGGAAAATATTCAGGCAAACTAAATTTTCCGGTTGAACATGAAGATACCTGCCACCGTAAACCTTCCGTGTTAACCTCGTACAGAAATTGATTGTACTTTCGGTGTGACTTTTGTTGTGCAGTTTTCCTGACGAATATAGCCAGGTCGTGTAAACCATGCTTGTATTACATCAAAGTGATACATTCGTTTCAACAAAACGTAACAGTTTGGATGATTGAAACTGTTCCACTATTAGGCTCATTAGCTGAGAAAAAGTTTCCTCTTTGGATTGTCTGTTATTACCCAGTGTATCTTTTGCATGACACAAGGCCCACTTTGAATTTAGAAACTGCATCCCGTCGTGCCTCTGGTCGGATATGTAACACTGGCACGAGGATCAGATTCAGATCTTGGATACAAAAATTAGATGCTCTCCTTGAATATGAGATCAGATCCAGATCTTTGATACATAAATTACACGTTGCCCTTGAATATGAGATCAGATCCAGATCTTGGATACATAAATTACATGCTGTCCTTGAATATGAGATCAGATCCAGATCTTGGATACATAGATTACAGGCTGTCCTTGAATATGAGATCAGATCCAGATCTTGGATACAAAAATTAGATGCTGCCCTTGAATATGAGATCAGATCCAGATCTCGGATACATAAATTACATGCTGTCCTTGAATATGAGATCAGATCAGATCTTGGATACAAAAATTAGATGCTGTCCTTGAATATGAGATGAGATCCAAATCTTGGATACATGAATTAGAAGCTTTCCTTGAATATGAGATCAGATCCAGATCTTGTATACATAAATTACATGCTGTCCTTGAATATGAGATCAGATCCAGATCTTGGATACATAAATTACATGCTGTCCTTGAATATGAGATGAGATCCAGATCTTGGATACATGAATTAGAAGCTGTCCTTGAATATGAGATGAGATCCAGATCTTGGATACATAAATTACATGCTGTCCTTGAATAAGAGATCAGATCCAGATCTTGGATACATAAATTACATGCTGTCCTTGAAGGGTTTACACCCGTTCCTTGTAGTTACGGTAGTTATATCCCTTGATTTGAAGCAGGGATTTGATACGGACACAGTTATCGTGTCTGGAAAATGGAATTAGGTCCGCTTATCTGCAACATGTATTAGGCCTGGTAAACTTGGGCTAATACAAAACTGATGAGCTGCACGCGGTGGAATTAGGGAGGATATCCTCCTTTCAAACCTAATGTATGTTTGCTGTTTCTGTACGGACGCTGTCTGTTAGAATGTTGCGGATGAGATGAACATGGAACTACAGCAATTCAAATATGTTTGCTTTACCTTCAGTGTCATTTTAATGATATGACTTAACAATCGTTGGCTGTTGAAACTTTTATTGCAAGAATAACAATTTTAAGACAACAACGACAAAAGTGTTTCACACTGAACAAAACAAGGCAGTGTATATTCATGGTAGAACGTCAGCACTAGATGTAATGGGTGATAGTGTGTGATAACAAGAATGTAGCATATCTACTGTCTAATCCGGCACCCTGTCTAAGCCGGCATTTTATGTCGGTTTAGACAGGTTTCACTGTATTTGTAAACTTGAAGCAGGAAATAACACGAGTATTGAATTGATGGGCAGTATGACAAGGATGCGCTTGTTCTCGGTGACATAGGTCGAGCTTTCAAAAGTGAACACGTCTACATGAGGCAAAGGAAGATTACACAAGTGTTACACTCGTATGACAAAGTACAACTGTGATCTCACCAAATGATGGAATGGTCTTGTATCTGACACATGGCAATATTCCAGCCCTCTAATAATTAGGGACCGGCACAGGCTTCTGTCATTTGCTTGTGTGTGAAACGACCATTGCCTGCAAGCACTATCGTTGCGATGCAGCACCACACGGTGGAAAACACAGAAACGGGTAACGTCATACAACAAATGGAAACCCACCATCCTCTTTATAAACCGACCTCTCTAAAACGGAATGTATTGACGTACTTAAGAGAACCGATATACACACAACGATAACTGGGCAACTCAAATACACACACCGATAACTAGGGAACTGTATCGCTGGTAATGCTTCCTGGTGTTCAGGAAACGGCTCGACAAGAAATGAAAAGCAGACACATATAGCACCGGAAGTACAGAACGAAGTACACGGTGAAGACGCCATTACTTTGACGACGTGGGCGCCACTGCCTCTTTAGCTCTACCAAGTGACAACTTCAAAACCATTCAATGGTAACTTTGAGCAGAGTTATGAGAATCTTCTCTTGTCTGCAATGGCAGGGTGTTAGCGTCATCCAACTTTAGAAAAACATGTCTAATTTTGGATGTCATGATAACGATACTGTTCGGTCAAGGACGCCGTCTTCGGTGACTATCACGCGGACGTCGAAGTCGAAGTGATCTGTTTGATAATGATTGTTTCCTTTTCCGTGACAGACTTCCTCTCACATGTTTCGAGCTTCTGTTCCTGACACATCCAGTTCGCGAGGCAACTATCTTCCCACTTACTTCGTACAAAATGGTTCCTGAAAATATGAAATGATAATGAAATACCTAGTGATGAATATGAAAACCCAACACATCTGTCGTGTATATAGTGAAGAATCCAAATTATGTTTACAAAATTTGAAGAAAAATACATAAAATATTTGAATAATGTGTGAATAACTTAGTGAAGGGTAGTATGGGTCATACTTATGTCTTTGTTCTTGCATCTTGGTTTGATCTCAACATTAGGCACCTCGTTGGTCATAGCGTCCTCCTCGTTTACGTCAATGTGTGGCTGGACAATGCCTGCAGCAAATAGACTTGAAAGTATTCGTCATTGCAGTTGTTTGTTGGTTTGTTTGTTTAACGTCGCACTATATTCCAGTTATAAAGCGGCGGTCTGTTCATAATCGAGCCTGGACCAGACAATCCAGTGATTAAGGCCATACTTTGCAATGACCCACATTTGCAATTGATTCAGGACCAGACAAACCAGTGATTAAAATTATGATCAACGATACACTTCGTCTTGTTACGAGACCTATAATCAACCACGCCACGTAGCTTGACCATCATTAAGTGCCAAATGGACATAATCGATGGACCAATTAACCAACTGACCAGAAATAATCAATTCTAACCTAATTTCCCTAGTGAGTGAGTTTGGTTTTACGCCGCTTTTAGCAATATTCCAGCAAAATCACGACGGGGACACCAGAAATCAGCTTCACCCTGTGGGGAATCGAACTCGGGTCTTCGGCGTGACGAGCTGTAACCACTAGGCTACCCCACCGCCAGTGTACGAAATAGTTTCCAGATTTTGCTAGCAAGTCGGATTAGCCTTGCCTGAAAGCTACTAGCCCACAAAATAATTCACTAGCCCGAAATGTGAATGTAGAAACTGAGCAAAATATAACAAAAAGGTAAAATATCATCATTTATCCGGCTATAACCTTGCATGATTTAAAAATGTATTAAAACGTATTTATATATATTTATATAAACGAACCCATGAAAATTCACTAGACAGTCGGACCAGTGATTGTGGAGATTTACTGGCCCTACTGGACTTTTACTAGCCACGGGCTAGCGGACCAGTGGCTATTTCGCACACTGCTCACCGCCCCTAGAATCCCCAAAGAAATCAAGATTTGAATAGAGATCTATTTGTTTTGTCTGCATATTGCTTTAGCTACTTACCCTTAAATCGCAAAATGAATCCCTTTCCACCTTTTGACCGCCTGGACACTCTGAACTGGACTACAACAATTCCTGACGAAATGTGGAGATTGACTCTTCGTCCCCCGACGTATTTTTTGGAATATTTCGTCTTTGGCCGAGAAAGAAATATTTTGAGGTTATCTCCCCTTGTTGACGGGTCAAGGTCCATTTCGTCTGTGTAAAGATGAAGGCCATATTTCGGGTTGATGCGGATTTTCTTCCGGCATACTATTGGCCGTGCTGTGTAGTGCCAGGGGAAGTTGGAGTGACTCTTGATCAGACCTTCTGTTGTGGTGATGACCGACGTTTTGTCACACATGTCGAATACCTTAGCTGTAAAGAGGCAAATTATGTGACCTGTACAGAACACAGTTTTCAACTTTTTATTAATTTTGGGTTATAATCTTATTTTGTTTTATTGATAGCTCAGTCCACTCTAATACTCACAACACGTGAAGATCCGGATTAGAATTGATCTTCGGCACCCATGCTTGTCTGAAGAGGCGACTAACGGGATCGAGTGGTCAGGTGGTCAGGTGGTCAGGTCGGATTTGGTTGACACATGTCATCGTATCCCAATTGCGCAGATCGATGCTCATGCTGTTGATCCCAGGATTGTCTGGTCCAGACTCGATTATTAACAGACCGCTGCCATATAGCTGGAATATTGCTGAGTGCGGCATAAAACTTAACTCACTCACTCACTCATTCACTTATACTCACATTTTATATCATATTATTTGTAAATGTGTTTAAGAGTGTTTAATCAGTTTAACCCTGGCTGATCATATTTCTGATGTATCGTGTCACAGATAAAGCTGTGATACAAGCCGAGTCTTAACGAAACCCTAGAGCCTTATGGTGAAGATGATAAAGATGTATCCTGGATTCGAAACCCATGGGTATCTTATCCTGGCATGATCAAGCTCCGCAACTATGCACAGCGACAGGGAAATATTTGAAGGCAAATGTCTGATTGTCCCCACAAACAGCCTTATTGGAACTCAGAGATAACTATTGTGATTGAACTGCCAAATGTTTCTGTGGTATTCCTCTCCGTGTATCGTCTTTCTTCACACACCCTTCATTAGGGGGGCGGTTGGGTAGCCCAGTGGTTAAAGCGTTCGCTCGTCAAGCTGAAGGCCTGGGTTCCATTCCCCACATGGGTACAATGTGTGAAGCTCATCTCTGGTGTCCCCCGCCGTGATATTGCTAAAAGTAACGTAAAACTAAACTCACTCACTCACTCACTGTAATCCAGCATTTTACCCGATTGTGTTCGAGGTTTATCAACTCTGTAACCCATGTGTTTCACCATAGCGGTAATTGTCTGAGAAATGCATCACATCGTGTTGTCCTCCCACATTGGGCAAGCACGACTCAGTGTTCTGTAATGCTGCTCATTGGCTAAATCCCACTAACTCTCTATATGAGGGTGGCCTTTCAATAGAAAGGATTCCAACAGTACAGTGCTTGATATTATGGAGAACGCCTTCGGGTTTTGATCCATATAACCATTCGATCCAGAAAGGCTTTCCTCCCGGTCCTTTAAGTCAACTCATGATGTAAGGGACCCATTCTAGCCCAGAACCCCAACGGAATAAAAACCACAGATCTCTAAGTACACAAGCATACCTTTGTCAAGACACTGATAACCCTTTGAAGACAAGTAGTCAGGCATCAGCGCAAGGCACCGCAGCTCATATGTTCTTGTCAAGGGCATGCTGGATCGTCTGCCAATCTCACACTGCTCCTTCCAATAGCATCTGTTGGTCTCTGTGATTAACCCCGTGTACTGCCCATGGCAATCCCTGGAAGTCGACATGACGCGTCCTTTGAAGGTGTTGACCCCGGCCATGACGACGGGCTTGTAGAGGACGTGGAAGGGGGGACATTGGAAGGTCATCGGGGAGTTGGACCTGATTATCCGTTCATCCACTGAAGCAACATCTGTAACCAGAGGTCATCTCCGTCATTATCTCCTTCTCAAACGTTTAGAACATTTACCTGATTATACCCTGAATTCTGTAAATAATCAAGCATATGACACTGTGTTATTGCCATTAAATTAACATTACATTTCGAAAAGGTGTGTAATATAATGTCAGTTGACTTCTGTTACTTATCCTCGTATCGCTTCTAAATACAATGTGAACGCTTCATTGAGTGACTGTATCTATGTTTTGTATATTGCAGATGAAAAACGATTGTTTTAGACTATACTGGAGAAAAATGTTTGGCAGTAGATTTAAGGACAAAATTATGGTTGCCTTTACATGATTCGTGTTCTTAAAATCAGATGTATGAGAAGGTAATTTAAGCAGTGATGACTCAGTTGATTGACAGGATACTAAACGATCATCACGATGTACAATTAAGTTGGAAGCATTGACTTACATTTTAATCTGGGTTTTCGTAGTCCTTTGGTTATGACTTCATTTGACAGAATAAACCGTCTTGAACTTGGCAAATGTAAAGTCCCTTTATATCTGCAAGAGTGACAATAATGTTTGATCCATTAGCTCGGACGGTACCATTCCAAGCTGAGCTGTTCGGATTAACAAACTTCCGGATTACCATACAACTGGAATATCAACGTCTATGTATGTAGACGGTATGTAGGTATTGTCTACGCGATGGATTGGAGTCTTCTACATCACAGGAAGACACATCAGAAATGCATTTGCCTTAACATAGTAAACCCTTACAGAGACTTGAACCTGTACTTATGATGAAACGAGGTGAGGTGAGGTGAAATTGGGTTTAACGTCGTACTTGAATATTTCGCTCATATGACGACGCGCACGCGTGTGTATGTCTGGCTGCTTTTACTAGCCCATACTTAAGCTCGTTTTATAGTGCCAGCTCACTGAGATACCATGCCGCAGTTGAGCATGAATACCCCACTCAGACACATTAACTGACTCTCGGGTTACAATGTATGAAGCCCATGTCTGGTGTCCTCCTCTGTGATGTTGCTGGAATATTGCTAAAAGCGGCGTAAAGCCACACTCACGCACGCACTCAGCATCACTCACTCACTCACTCACTGACTCACTCGAGCCTGACCACCGGATCAAATAACTCGCCTTTTACGACAGGCATATTTGGCTGGAGACCTACGCTATATGAACAATCAACGTTTTAACTCACATTCAAATCTGATGATGAAGCCAACCTCTTCAGTCAGCCCTTTGGTTGACGCTTCCAGCGTTATATCCAGATCTCCCTCAACATCAAGCTGTTTGTTCATGAGACTGTGCGAGTTTATCAGTTCCAGTTTCTTGGTGCCTCTGTAGTGACGGACGGTCAATCGGTCCTCCACGTCCAACTGGAGATGGACCACTGACAGGTGTAGCCGGTGTCCATCCTTTGCTTTCAAAATTTGGGTGCAGGTGGTGTTGCTCATTCGAGGAAACCTACGCGGGAACAGGTCATGGCTCCTGATGACGCCTTCGTTGACTTGGGAGAGATGGCCACTTTTGTCGCAAATACTGAACACGTTAGCTGGAAACAGACAAGAAGATGGACAGATTAGCATTCACTATAATGTCACTCTGCATTTATTTAAAAATGTATATTTGATTTATTTTTTTATTATGGAAATAACATCAAGATGGAGTATTGGGAAATCAATATACTGAACCAGCTGAAGCACAAAAGAGAAAGTCAGTTCCCCTGCGTGGGCGACCGAGTCGTCTAAGGCATCCCATTTCCCTATACATTGGTGCACCCCTTAGGCGTGAGAGAAACCTGTGATCGTTGGTTCGATTCCTGGATGGATCCTGAGTCAGAGCCTGTCAGCAACATAGCCGGGAAAATGCAAGGTGTATGTCTATGACCATCATCACTTCTAGATGGTCTTTCAGTGCCTCCCTGAACAGCACGGTGTGTTGACGTGACGCTACAGCCTTGATCGAAATAGCCACTGGCCCGCTAGCCCGTGGCTAGTAAAAATCCGGTCGGGCCATTAAATCTCCACAGTCACTGGCAGGACTAGCCAGTGAATTTTCAGGGGGGCATTTTGTAAATATATTACTCTCTCCGATTTGTTAAGCTATAACACTTTTAAATCATGCAAGATTATGGCCAGATAAAACTGTTCATCATATTAACAGCCTGATGGTGAAACCCGTGTTTTCATTCAAATTTCTGACTAGTGAATTATTTTGTGGGGTAGTAACTTTCAGGCATAGCTATCCCGACTGGCTCGCAAAATATGGAAACTATTTCGCACACTGCACCACAGACAACTACAATATCTGCGTCAGCTGATACACTAACCAAATCTCAGCTACTCGGGTAGCATCACAACTGTAAAAGCTACTTTTAAAATTTGAACCTTTTGTTAATGTAATTCTATTAACTGAAGCAAAGCCATTATAGTTTAAAAAAATTAAAATTAGTTTGTGTCTTGTTTACAACATCCAAGTTGATGACGGACAGACACATATCAGGTACATACCTTTCAGAATACATTTAGGAGTATCATACGCGACATAGGTAGGTGTCTGGCCGTTGCATCTACCCTGGATTGAAGGCAGCGGTTGACTCGTCTTCCATTGGACGGAACAACGTCTTCTCCAGAAACACTTGCTCCGCATCATCCGGAGATCCGAACTCAGTCCAGCACAGTCATGGGTGCCAGGGACGCAGGGGTGGGCGTCATTCTTACCCAACGATACTACTGGATCGTAGATGACGTGATGTTTGCGGCACTGGAAGCTTAAACTGTCCTCCTTCTTCAGGGTACATCTGGAAATGATCCCAAATACCCCTGCAACAAAATAATATTTACTTTACTCTGAATTCATATGAATTAATATTAGTGACTTCATGACAAAACTGGGGCGATAGGGTAGCCTAATGGTTCAAGTCGTCACCTGGGTTTGGTTCCCCACGTGTGAAGCCAATTTCTGGTGTCCCCCGCCGTGATGTTGCTGGAATATTGCTAAAAGCTAAAAGCGGCGTAAAACTGAAGTCACTCATTCACAAAAATCGGTGAAAATGTGTCAGTGTAGTTCGAAACATTGGTTGTCACGAAGCACTACTCTCTATGTAATGTGGGCGGATTGTGGCTCGTGGATAAGATGTTTACGTAGTGGATGATGTTCAGTCATCAAGCCAAAGTTCCTATGTCGATTCCCCACGTTGGAAGCAGATATCCTAATACTGCTGAATACAAACTGGTCCACTCACCGTGCTTTCCATAAACGAGCGCGCTATAGCTAGTTCTACTTGCGTTTGTCGTAAGAGGCGACTAACGGGATCGGGTGGTCAGACTCTCTGACTTGGTTGACACATCGTGTCATCGTATCCCAATTGCGTAGATCGATGCTCATGCTGTCGATCACTGGATTGTCTGGTCCAGACTCGATTATTTACAGACCTCGTCATGAAGCTGGAATATTGCTGAATGCGGCATACAATTAAACTCACTCACCCTCTTGCGTTTGAACACTTAAGCTGTCTTATTTCATTTATTTTGAATAAAGCTCAGTTTCTGTATTCTTCAGCAACCTGTTCGACTTAATGATGCCCTAAAAACACTATTTTGTGATAACACGGCGGGTTAAGATAGAAATGTACTTATCAATGCATGTCATCGTTGTGTTTCCCAGGTAGAACTTCAGAGAATGTTGAATCTGAATGGCTTTAAAGGAATAGAAGTACACAACGGCGTGGGTGTATGGAAGCTGTAATTTGGCTGGTTGATAGTATATCATTCCGTTCTGACAGAACCAGCTGGGGACCTGTTTGGAATGATCTCGGCGATTCGTAGACGAGTACGCTAGGCCGGATTGTTAGGCTTTGTGTAGACTAACAACTAGTCTCTGAAATGAACATATTTTACTGAAAAAAGTTCATAGTATAAAAAAATAATAATAATGAAAAGGAGCCCTGAGACTTTCTTCATTTTCAGAAGCTGAGTAAATCTAGACTTGCCACATTTTCTAGACTTGCGTGACCTTTCTTGGATATATTTGCTTCAGGGTCTGTACGACGGACTAGGCTTTGTGATATAAGGGCCATTTCATCCGGGCGGATAGCTGTACTGTTGTTGAAGCATCGCTGTCTGAGGTGTAAACGATTTGGTTAGCTTTGGTTTGGTTGTTGTTTTACGCCGCACTCAGCAATATGCCAGCTATATCGGGGTCTCTAAATAATCGAGTCTGGGACCAGACAATCCAGTGATCAACAGCATGTGAACCGCGCATAGCGATCCTGATCACCCGATCCCGTTAGTTGCCTCTTACGACGAACATGGGTTGCTGAAGACCAATTCTAACCCGGATCTTCACGGGTGTATCATAACTGACATATTTTATAGCTTTACACGATTTTCACTGTTATCGCTAATCATCCCTCCTTGTTTCGTGTCTCGCGTCAGTCTCAATCAAGTCGCGATAAAAATGAAAATAAAGGATTTTTTTGGTCGTAGACAGGTCGCACACTATATTCGGTGTAAGCGGAAAGTCAACATTGGTCGCCCACAACTTATACCACCGTTGCGATCGATAATCGCAGTGAGATCTCGTGTGGTCTCAGACAAGTCGCGGTTCAGTGTAACCCGGGGCGGTGGGGTAGCCTAGTGGTTAAAGCGTTGGTTCGTGACGCCGAAGACCCGGGTTCGAATTCCCACATGGGTACAATGTGTGAAGCCCATTTCTGGTGTCCCCCACCGTGATGTTGCTGGAATTTTGCTAAAAGCGGCGTAAAACCAAACTCAATCAGTCAGTCGGTGTAACCCACCCATAAAGCATCACTCTTTGTTTCGTGTCTTGTTGACTGAGGTTTAAATGTTGACAGAATAAGGACGTGACACACACACCGTGTCTAACCTGAAGCCGCTTCGTCATCCAAATGAACCGTTGGGTTATGGGATTCTAGTACTCGCGATTTGCCCGTGAGATTTAAGGCTTAAACTGACGTCACGGGGATCATGGCGGAGATACATTGTATTAGTGATGTCATTTGATTGTGACGTCATGTCAGCTGATGCCTCACAACGGTCTGCTGAGCACTGTGGTGCAGTTCATTGTGTCAGTATCTCGCACTTCAGCGTCATTGCCTGATGAAGTAAGTTTTGAAGGATTATTTCTTCCTGTGTCAGGGTAGCGCACACATTCACAGATCACACGCGTTAAAGCAATGAGGATAATTCAGCAAAATGTCCTTGTCAGTGGAAATCATTTTATACCGGGATGTCAAACAGTTATCATTTCCTCAGGAAAACTATAGCCCCCTATACGGTTAACGCCGCAGTTTAGCATGAACCGGCCTTAAAAAACAAGTACAACAATGAACGATGAATTTCATAAAGCAAAGACACTTTTACGCATTTAATGAAATATTAATATAACAATCAGAAAAACACAGGCAACGTATACTACTGAATATATTATGAGTGTATATATATATATATACATATATATATATATATACATATATATACATACATACATATTATTACAAAGAATAGGTACATGAGTTCATCTTGCGTCACCTTGTGGGTTTAGTTCGACACTATTATTAAAATCCAAGCAAAAAGTAACATATAAATAGATCCTTGTCATCTGCGATCTTTTTATAGCGTTGATTGGAAAGGTAGATTAAAACATTACTGCAAACTACCGTTAGGGAGCACATGGACCAATATTCGTGATACGATGACATTCATTAGAAATAGAGAACTAACCTGACCACCGATCAAATTACAAGCATGGGATACGGTATAAATGTTGGGGATTTCCAGTCACACATGCTGGATGACGTGGTTGGTGTCATCGTACCCTGGCGTCGTTGAACAATGCGCATTGTATCAATCACTGGATTATCTAGCAAGGGTTAGAGCACTGACAGGCATCGTGAATGTGGGATTAAAACAGCAAACATATCTGCAATATTTACAGCAAACTATCGCTGTATAGAACAATGTCGAGAGCGGATAAGAGACCGGCTATCTGTTGAATGGTAGAATAAGTGAGATGGGAACTTACCAACATGTGAGGAAAGCGCGATAGGCAGGAGTATCGGTAATACCTTCATCCTTGGATTACAGGGGAAACACCGCTGTCAGATTGTAATGTCATAGTTTATACAAGTACAGTTCAGTTTCCGCGTAGGACGTCAACCAATGACGAACACCTATCCTCAAACGTGTTATCGCATGGCGCACGATGATATAAGTGCATGCACGCACTCACTCACTCACTCGCTCGCTCACTCACGCACGCACGCACGCACGCACGCACTCACTCACTCACTCACTCACTCACTCACGCACGCACCCACTCACTCACGCACGTACTCACACACGCACGCACTCACTCAAAGCCACGCGCTCACGCACGCAGGCACTCTCTTACGCACGCACGCATGCACGCGCATACTCACTCACTCGCTGTTTGCATTGCATGTGCTATGGGATGCTGACAAGTCACAACCTGAGCACACGTGTGCATCAAAACATGGATAACAAGTTGAGTTTTAAAAGTAAATGATGTGAAATCACAACAACTGAAGAATATCACCAGTGAAAACATAACAGGTTCCTCACAGGCTGCTTTTTCTCCTTTGGTGAAGGACCTTGGCGTATGGCTGAAGTCTGATCCCTCCATGGATGTACAGGTTGACAGACTTGTAAACCTACTACTTCCATATTGGGGACACTGGGAACTATAACTGTGAATATTCTAGTCAGATGTCTAATTTCATCAGACTAGATTATTGCAGTGGATTCTTGTAGGTCTTAACAGGATTCAGCTTAAAAGACAGCAGAAAATACAGAATACAGTCAAAATCATGTCACATTACTCCAGTCCTCAAATCACTTCATTGGCTCCCCATTAAATCATGTATGAAGTGTAAAGTTCTCTGCGCGGTCTACAAATGCCTCCACAACCAAGCCCCATCCTACCTCACTGACTTGATCGCTGTATACACACCAGTCAGAACTCTTCGAACTCAGAACCTGCTCCTACTTACTGTACCTACTTTCCGACTTTCCTCATTTGTTAAACGATCATCCTGTCATGCAGCATGCAGCCCCAAGACTATGGAATTCACTGCCAGTTCACATCAAAGACCCTGGTTTTCTGACAGCTTTCAAGTCACAACTGAAGTCTTATCTTTTCTTATCTTAACTATGTGGATTATAGCGCATAACAAATGTCCAATATGTTCTAAAGATTAAGATGAAAATGCAGCAGAGACGGTTCGGGTGATGTACAATAAACAATGAACGATGAACGATGAATTTCATAAAGCAAAGACACTTTCACGCATTTAATGAAATATTAATATAACAATCAGAAAAACACAGGCAACGTATACTACTGATTATATTATGAGTAGATAGATATATATATATACATGTATATCTACACAAAATCCAGTTCACAAACATCAAATCAGTCCACGACATCTACGATAAGGATCCGTCCTCATTCACAAAACATCATCTCCAAAAATCAAAATCAGACAACAATGAGAAAACAAATTGAAAAATCATCCAGACCTAGAGCTGAAACAATTAAAAAGAATCAAAGTGGTAGAACCCCCGAAAGGCAAATAATCCGGTCCAACTATTTACAAGTTTGGATCACTTCGAGACATGGATGTGTCCGACCTTCACAACCATGATAGGACACATAGCTTGTCACCTTCGAGGAAAGTAAGGGGTCGATCTCCTGTTAATCCCTCCGAAGAGATAGTTTTCTTTTTCAATTCTTAATACAGTGGAACTGTTCCAGGACGAATTTTGAATGATTTACATCTTTTTAGTCCAAGATTTTAAACCCGTCAGTATTCTGCTTACAAGAGACATATACATATCTAAAGCAGACTGATCATTTTGACTTACGTCAGTATAATGGTATTATCATTGTTTTCTCCCATGGGCGATAGAGCCACTGGAGGATCTTCAATCATTGTTCGAATGATGTAATCGGTTGTACTTAAACAAGTCTCCAGGCCGTTTAAGACTTACTTTGCATGTTGCAGTTACTCTTGTTTCCTTCTGTACATTTGCCTTCATCATCTGTTCAGCAGTGGATCTTCAGGCTCTGTATGATGAACTCCCTAAACCTTGTATAATCATGGGTGATTTAAATGGGCACAATCCACTCTGGGCAGCACTAATACAAACACAAAGGTAAATTACTGGAGGATTTCATCTCAAATAATGATTTATGCATTTTACAATGACGGTTCAACTACCTATTTACATCACACAGAACATATTCAGCTCTTTGATTTATCTATTACTGACTCCAACCTATTGAGGAATTCGAATGGTCAGTCCACGAGACCTTTGTGAAGCGATTTATTTCCCAACGATACTAACACCTGTGAATCCATCTGAGTTCCTCTCCATCATCGAGATGGAATTTTAAAAGGCTTAACTGGCCTTTATATGAAAACTCTTCTGTCGTGACAAACTTAGGCCTGAACTTTTTAATGATGTTCCTGATGCCATAAAAATGTTTTTCGGATGAACTAAATAATATATTGGACGATGCATCCCTAAAGTCCTCTTCGTAATTCCTCATGTACGAAAAATATGATTGTGAACAGGCTAGGAAGGTACGGAAGAAAGCCGAGCACTATTTCCGTCGCCATCCTATGGTCCACAATTTGGACAAATATAAATGTTAAACGCCAAAGCAATGTACTTTCAAGCAAAGTAAACGCTTGTCTTAAGGAAACTATATATCAAAATTAATTCTCGTCAAGGTGTGGAATAATATGATCCAGAAAATCATGGGTAAGGCTCTAAGTTCAATACACCATCTCAAAGATGCTAATAAACTTGGTGAGACGTTGGCCAAACATTCTTCCTCGGTTAAATTATGTACCTGAATTCCATCAAAACAGCAAGAAAAGAAAGCCATTAATTTTAATTCAGATAATGGGAAGACTACAATGAAACTTTTCGATACATGAGCTTCATACTGCTCTTGATCAGGGTTTCACGATACTGCTTCTGGAGCTGATAACATACATTATCAACTCCTGAAGCACTTGCCAGGAGTCATGTTTGGAGACACTGTTACATATTTTGATGATATTTGGACAACTGGAAATTTCCCTTCTCGTCGTATGCAATCATTGTGCCCATAAACCTGACGTGACCATAAATTGATCCTTCCAATATAGGCCAATTTCACTAACTAGTTGTGTTTGTAAGACCATGGAAATCTTACGATAAATAATCGACTTGTTTGGTACCTGGAAACCAATATTGCATGTGGTTTCCAAAACCGGATTCTTGTAGGTAAAAATGCCATCTAATACACAACACAGGATCTTTTTGATTTAGAAAAAGCATATGACACTTGGAAAAAGATTTTAAGAGATCACACGATTTTGGATTGAGAGAAAATACAGAATAGTGGGTTCTAGACCATTATAATCAGGATCAAAATCATGTCACATTAAACGATTCAATTGATGGATCACTTTGTGGATGATTTTAAGTCCTCAAATCACACACACACACACACACACACACACACACACACACACATAACACACACACACACATATTTTCAAGTAATTTTCTCATAGAGTTTCGTATGCAGCATGCACTAAGACTATGGAACACACACTCAAAGACCCTGGTTTTTCGACAGCTTTCAAGTCACAACTCGAAGTCTTATCTTTTTCTTATCTAACTATGTGATTATAGCGCACACACACACACGGTGAACCTTACTGATTATATTATGATAGAGTATATATGGTATACATGTATATCACTATCATCATCATCAATAATAATAATAACACACACATATTTACCATAGAGTTTACCTACTGCAAGCCCAGAATATATGGGTGCTTATCATTCCCCATGCAACAGCTGCAGCTGATATCAGCATAGCCCATTTTTGACAGGGAATGGTATTTGATAAGGTAGGGTGTAGTATTTAACATTGCAGCCATTTAGGTATCTTTAAGGAAGGGAATTACAGCAAAACTTTGCCAATCATTATATATGGTATCATTCCATTAGGTAATGTGTCATTTTATCGAGTGTTCATTTCTTTAGCTAACACACTCATCAACATTTTATGGCGATATTGAATACTTGTTGAAAATATTATAATAAATTTGTTTATGTGGGTGGTGGGGATGGATTCGGTTGGATAGTTTGGATATGTTATCTGAATCTGTGTTTACTTGCAGAAAATATTGTTTCACTGAGCTGACCACGCCCATGTATCGAATATGTCCTCGTCACAGACAAATTACAGTTACATACCAAACCAGACACTCAGGGTAATGCTTGTGCCAAGTCAGATGAGGAAAGATAGGTATCTTAGAAGAAACAAGCAAGCTTGTGCCTGAGTTGAAAAAGCAATTGTTATGCATATTAATTCTGTTAGTGAGGTTGATATTAGGAGTGGGATGTGTTGGACTTATGATCCAGTGGTTAAAGTTATGTTTATGTGTATTAAAATCAGTCAACAATTATTCCAGGATTGGCCATTGTAGCTATTGACATGCATACCACTTTAGTATTCGTTTATGAGTATAATTACCAATAACCGACCTTATCCTCCCAGTTATAGTGAACGATGCTAGATGAAATGTACCGTCAATTTTCCAAAAACATTGCCGTACGTTGTTACCTTTTGTATACTATTTGGTGTGGAAAGTGTTCCTCTGAAGTATGTCATAATCATTGAACTTAATCTGCTTTATCCACTGATACCAAAGAAGTTTACCAAGTTTTTGGAAATAGCAGATGTTGTTTCGTAGATAATTTGGTATACAAGATTTTAACTTCAACCTGAATTTCCTGAATTTCACAATTTCGAATGAACTAAGTTTCGTGAATCTAGAACTAAAAATAATTTTGCTTCAGCACTCATAACAAGGCCTTGGTGTTTTATCTCCTGCGTTTCTTCAGGATTTTCGTTTCATACTTCTTGCCTAAGTATAGATACGTTTTGTCGCCTGTCAATTTCGCTTTATTATTTTTGATAGTTGTTTTCGTCTGATTTTTTAAGGAGTGTTTCCTTGAGTCTGTTCTCACCTTTAATGATATTTGTATCTAAACACTGCTGATCGTCAATCCTAAATTCATTCACGTTTTGGTCATCTGTTGTG